TGTTCCTGTGGGGGGCTGGGAGCCTCACCAGCAGGCAGAACCACAGCCTCTGCACTCTCCATGGGCACAGGCCATGCAACCAGAGTCTGAGTCACGCAACACGCCCTCCCCTGAAAGAGGTGTGTGCAGGGGCCAGCCCGGCACTCTCAGACCCGGAGAGTCTGAGCATTCACAGCCAGGGCCAGTGGAAAAATCCCAGTGTGCTAAAACTGCTTGGGATGTCTATGGCAGTCTGGAGCTGTCCATACAGCGACCACTGTTGTGATTTTGGGTACAAGCAGGAGTTCCTGTGTCCAGGGACCGTGCAACTGGGAACATGCTCTGCCAGCAGCCAAGGGGGAATTTATGAGCTCTGGAGCACCCAGAGTGGAATAGACTGAGGCTTCTCTCTGACAGGGAGGTCGGAAAACCCAAAAGAGTCCAACCCCAAACAACTAGACCGCATACAGCAATTCAGTAACGTGGCAGGATACAAAGTCAATGTACAGAAATCAGTGGCTTTCTTATACACTAACAATGAAAATACAGAAAGGGAAATTAGAGAATCCTTTCCATTTACTATAGCACCAAGAACCATAAGATACCTGGGAATCAACCTAACCAAAGAGGTAAAGGATCTGTGCTCAAGTAACTACAGAACACTCATGAAAGAAATTGAAGAAGACACAAAAAGATGGGAGACCAATCCATGCTCTTCAATCGGTAGAATAAACATTGTTAAAATGTCTATATTGCCGAGAGCAATCTATACTTTCAATGCCATTCTGATCAAAATTCCACCATCATTTTTCAGAGAGCTGGAGCAAACAATCCTAAAATTTGTATGGAATCAGAAGAGACCCTGAATTCCTAAGGAAATGTTGAAAAAGAAAAATAAAACTGGGGGCATCACCTTACTTGATTTTAAGCTTTACTATAAAGCTGTGATCACCAAGACAGCATGGTACTGGCATAAAAACAGACACATAGAACAGTGGAACAGAGTAGAGAGCCAGATATGGACCATCAACTCTATGGTCAAGTCATCTTCGAAAAAACAGGAAAAAATATACAGTGGAAAAAAGACAGTCTCTTCAATAAATGGTGCTGGAAAAACTGGACAGCTATATGTAGTAGAGAGAAACTCGACCATTCTCTTACACCGTACACAAAGATAATCTCGAAATGGATAAAAGACCTCAACATGAGATAGGAATCCATTAGAATCCTAGAATAGAATATAGGCAGTAACCTCTTCGATATCAGCCACAGCAACTTCTTTCAAGATATGTCTCCAAAGGCAAAGGAAACAAAAGTGAAAATGAACTTTTGGGACTTCATCAAGATCAAAAGCTTCTGCTCAGCAAAGGAAACAGTCAACAAAACAAAGAGGCAACCCACGGAATGGGAGAAGATATTTGCAAATGACAGTACAGACAAAAGATTGATATCCAGGATCTATAAAGAACTCCTCAAATTTAACACACAGAAAACAGATAGTCATGTCAAAAAATAGGCAGAAGACATGAACAGACACTTCTCCAATGAAGACATACAAATGGCTATCAGACACATGAAAAAAATGTTCATTATCACTAGCCATCAGGGAGATTCAAATTAAAACCACATTGAGATACCACCTTACACGAATTAGAATGGCCCAAATTAGCAAGGCAGGAAACAATGTGTGTTGGAGAGTATACGGAGAATGGGGAACCCTCTTACACTATTGGTGGGAATGCAAGTTGTTGCAGCCAATTTGGAGAACAGTGTGGAGATTCCTTAAGAAATTAAAAATAGAGCTTCCCTATGACCCTGCCATTGCACTACTGGGTATTTACCTCAAAGATACAGATGTGGTGAAAAGAAGGGCCATCTGTACCCCAATGTTTATAGCAGCAATGGCCACGGTTGCCAAACTGTGGAAAGAACCAACATGCCCTTCAACAGACAGATAGATAAGGAAGATGTGGTCCATATACCCTATGGAGTACTATGCCTCCATCAGAAAGGATGAATACCCACCTTTTGTAGCAACATGGACGGGACTGGAAGAGATGATGCTGAGTGAAATAAGTCAAGCAGAGAGAGTCAATTATCATATGGTTTCACTTATTTGTGGAGCATAACAAATAACAAGGAGGACATAGGGAGATGGAGAGGAGAAGGGAAATGAGGGAAATTGGAAGTGGAGATGAGCCATGAGAGACTATGGATTCTGAAAAACAATCTGAGGGTTTTGAAGGGGCAGGGGGTGGGAGGTTGTGGGAGCCAGGTGGTGGATATTATGAAGGGCAGGTATGGCACTGAGCACTGGGTGTGGTGCATAAACAATGAATTCTTTTATGCTGAAAATAAATTAATAATAAAAATAAAAGAAGTAGGAGTGGATCTGCAGAAGGCTAGGTGGGGAGTCAGTCAATGGTGTTAACAAAGTTTGCCTGGGGCTTCTCTGAGAGATTTGGAGTTTAGGCCTGGCTGTAAAAGGTGTGTCCACAGGACAATGTGAGTGAGGCTGTTGTGTTAAGTTTAGTAGGGAATGTATGTGCCATGCTGCTTCCGGGTAACCATGTGTTTTGGCTGGGAGAGATGAAAACTGAATCCCCAGATCCTCTGTTCACAGAGACATTTCCCAATGACCCCTGCTCCTCCAGGACACTCTGAGATTAGTAAACTAATCTCCCTCCTGCATACTCCAGGTTTTTTTCTTTTTTTTTTTTTTTTTTTAAATACAGCTTCTATTTTGTGTCTCTACAGGGCTGTTTGTTGTGATGTCTCTTTAGGGGCATGGAATCAGTTTCTTATGCACTCCCAGCTCTCCTTGAGAAAAGCCCACTAATTTTTGAAATTCTAATTATATTCTTATGATTATAGGAGCTCATGAAATTCAGTGTCTCTGATTTTCAAAACCAATTGATATGGGGAATTAATCTTTCCTCTCTGGGCTTCCTGGTGTTACATTCTGTTTCTCTCCCCTTTCCGTGTCCACTATGTCCTTCCCTCTCGCTGGCATTCTTATGGATCTGTTTAGATTCTGAGTGTATACGTGTTCTTTCTACCTTCTTCAGCGTGGCCTCTTCCTTATATTTATTTGTGGAGAGTTTGCTCTGCCAATCCTTAGGCCATTTTCTGGATTATTTAAACTGCTGTTAATGTTATCTAGTTGTATCCATGGGAAGAGGTGGGTTTCTCCTACTCTAACATATTCCATAGAAGTTTAGTAGACAGGCATAAGAAATTAAAAAAAAATAGTGTTTGAGAAACTAGATATCCAAATTAAAAATGGTGAAACTAGATCACTTTCTTACATCATACACAAAAATAAACTCAAAATGAGTTAAAGACCTAAATGTGAGACCTAGAACCATATAATTCCCAAGACAAAAGATGCAGTAATCACTTGGACATTGGCCTTAACAACATATTTATGGTTATGTCTTCTCAAGCAAGAGAATAAAAAAACTGCTGGGACATCTCCAAAATAATAATAACTACAACAAAAATAGTTTTGCACAGCAACAGAAACCATCAGCAAAAAAAAAAAGTCTAATGAATAGGAGAAGATATTAGTAAATGATATATCTGATAAAAGGTTATTATCTAAGATAAATAAAAACATAGACAATTTAACATCATAAAACAAAATATCCAATTCAAAAATGGGTAAAGACCCTAAACAGACTTTTGTCCAAAGAATACATACAGATGAGACTCAAAGATATGAAAAATGCTCAACATCTCTATTCATATTGGAAATGCAAATAAAAACTACAATGTAATACTACCACACACCAGTCAGAATGACTACTTAGAAAAAGACAAGAAATAACAAATGTTGGCAAGAATATGGAGAAAATGAAACACTTGCACACTATTGGTGAGAATGCAAATAAGTGAAATCACTGTGGAAGATAGAATGGAGGGTCCTCCTAAATTAAAATTACTAATATCATATGATCCAGTAATTCCACTTACTGGATTTACTCACAGAAATAATTTGAAAAAATACACCATTATATTTATTGCTGCATTTTCTATAACAATCAATATATGGATGCAAGCCAAGTGTCTCTTGATGATTGATAACGTGTTGTGTGTGTGTGTATATGTGTGTGTGTGTGTGTGTATTGCTATATTACTCAGCCATAGGAAATAATGAGGTTTTGCTATTTGCAACAATGTAGATGGATCTAGAAGGTATTATGCTATGTGAAACAAATCAGACAAATACAGGTACCATGTGATTTTACTTATATGTGGAATCTAAAACAAACACAGTCTTTCAACTACAGATAACAAACTGGCAGTTTCCAATGGGCTGGAGATGGGACAATGAACAAAATAGATCATAGTGATTAATAGGTGCAAAATTTCGAGTTATAAAATTACTAAGTCATCGAAATAAAAAGAAAAAATAGGGAATATAGTCAATAATATTGTAATAATATAGTATGGTGACTATACTTATCACAGTGAGCATTGAGTAATATATAGAATTGTCAATATGCTGTTCACTCAAAAATAATATTACACTGCCTGTCAATTTTATTTAAATAATGTGTTTTAATTTAATTTTTTAAAGGAAACATCAACCTGGATAAAACAGTACTTCATGGCAAAAATGAACGTCTATGTTTCTCCTCTGTTTTACTCTCAGATTAGGCTAATGCTCAGTCAAAAATTTGAAGCATTCATTATCTCCTTTGTCTCTTTGATGGTAAAATATGACAATATTGCTTGTCCACCTTTGTGAAAAACTTAAGAAAATATGTATACTTCCATCTATTTGTTACCAAAGGCCTTTTATTCAAATATTTCTATAAAAGCAACTCTTTACTGAACTCAATTGTTTTGTTTCAAACAGAATAAGTTGATTGGCAATTTAATGACCACTTTTTAAAATAATCTATGTCTCTAATTAGACATTCTCCATAGCTGAAGAAAGCTTCAAACGAGGGACTTTGAATTTCATCCTGGAACTGGTTTTAGATATGAAGTATGTGACAGTGGTATTTCTTAAACTATTTTGATATTAGGTACTTTACCAGGGTCTTCTTTAAAGCCCCCACAACATCCTTGTTTCTAAGGCTATAAATTAAAGGGTTCAGCATGGGAGTGAGGATAGTATAGATCATCGAGAGACCTTGATCCAGGCCTGGGGTGAGGGAAGAGCCAGGTGTCAGGTACACCATTATTGCTGGTCCAAGGTAGAGACTCACTACAATAACGTGAGAAGAGCATGTGGACAGGGATTTTTTCTTTCCCTCAGGAGAGTTTATTTTGAGAACAGTGAGGAAAATTTGAATATAAGAGGTCATTATTAAGCTAAAGGGGGTGAATATAAATATCATACTTACCATAAACAACACCATCTCATAATCTGAAGCGTCCTCACAGGATAGCTTCAGGATGGCTGGTATCTCACAGAAGAAGTGATTTGTTTTCTTCAGTCCACAGACAGGAAAATGCATGGTGTAGATGGTTTGAATGAGTGAATTTAGAGAAGCCCCAGTCCATGATGCCACTGCCATTAGCAAGCAGACTTTAGGATTTATGATGATTGAGTAGCAAAGGGGGTTACAGACAGCCAAAATCGGTCATAGGACATAAAGGTTAGGAGGAGACACTCAGCGCCACCTAGAGTCAGACAGAAGAACATTTGGACTCCACAGCCAATGCAAGAGATGCTGTGCTTCCCTAAAGAATGGTTGATGACCATCTTAGGAACCGAGCTGGAAATGTAGAACAAATCAATGATGGCAAGTTGGCTGAGCAAGAAGTACATGGGAGTATGAAGGTGGGAGTTCCCCCAGATCAGAAAGATGACGATGGAGTTCCCTGTGAGGGTAATGAGGTAGACCAGAAGGATGAGATAGACCAGGAGGCTGGCATATTGGATCTCAGGGAAGAGGCCCAAGAGAATGAAATCTGTAGTAGATGTCTCGTTTATGTTTGCCATATCTCAGCTTCATTGGTGAAGGCTAATGTGTGGTAAGAGGAAAGTACAGGGCATCTGTTAAATTTTATGCCTTGTTATGAGCCTTTTATTTTAGACTTGGTTTATTTTTATCTATCTATTCTTTCTGCAACATCTTGACCCAAACAGCATTTAGACCATCTTGAGAAACATTAAGATTGGAGAGCATATGGGAATTTGGGGAGAGTGACACACTTGGAGAAAGCATGGGACGCCCATGTTCTTTCCACATACATTACCCTACACATCTCTCCCATCTAGATGTTAATCTGTATTCTTTATTTTGCCTTTTAACAATAAACTGGTAATATAGTTAAAAATCACGAAGTTTTAAAGTAGTAAATTTCTTTTTTTTT